CAGGGTGAACCAAAACAAAGAGGAAAACGGATTAGCAAAAACGCTAAGTACATATAAGTGCAAGGCATGTAAATGCTTTTATTAGACAAACATGTTTTTGAAATAATTATTCCAATTCAAACTTGTCAAAGATCACTTTCCAAAATTAGACTTTCTAAATTTAAATCTTCAAAAAGTAGTAACGTCCATTAGTAGAAACTTTCCAAACCAATAGATTTCCAATTTAAGATGAATTTCCGAAATCAAATTTCCCTCACCTCAGTGTGCTCACCCCGCAAACAAGTTAGACTATACTCGAGGAAAGACCAGATCATACAAAGTTCACGGTCTTACTTAACCAGTCTCAGGTAGAGGGACAATTAAAGTACTAAATACTCAGGCCCATAATGAGCTGCAAGTTTAAATTAATCCTTTGAATTGATAAGTGATTTATAAACAACTTTTATTAATTTAATTAGCACTTTTAAAGATCAAACTTTTAAAATCGAAAAATTATATTTTTAACTCATCGCAATAAATGTTCATCAAAATACGTATTCAAAAACTTGTATCAAGGACCTAGCCACATATACGTACCTTGATCACGAGAACAATTAAGGTACGACTACTACACTTGACCACGATCAAGGGAATCCTCCTACACAATAAAATAACCTTAATTAATATAAGGCTAACAAAATAACACAAAACCATAAACACAATTCTACTTGTGCATGAATTACCAAACCCTTAACCTTTTAAAACAAGAATTATTTTACTCAAACAATAAGCTTATAGTAACCTCATATTAATAGTATATAAGATAGTAGTATCATAACATTAGAGTTAGTATTTGGATCATATAACATATGTATAGCACGTAGTATGGTGTTGCAAAACAAGAAGATTTTCTTAATTTTTTTTAAAAAGAAAAAAAAAACAATGCATACAAGCTGCGGCAAAGAGGAACGAGGAAAAGAGGGGTACTACACCTCTTGGCAGCAGCAGTAGGCGGCAAGGAGTGTGGACAGAAAGAGCAGTGGTGGGCTGCTGACGTTAGGGGCAGCAAGGGGTGTGTGGTTTGTTAGGCGGTGTTTGGCTCGGTTGCTTGCTACGTGAAAGGAAGAGGAAGCAAGGCAAGTAAGAGGGGAATGTGATTAACCGTGGGTTTTAAGAGAATAAGAGAAGAGAATTTCTGGTTTTGGTGTGAGTAATTGAGGAGGATTAAGGGTCTATTTATAATGTTTAGAGTGTGGAAGGGATAGTGATTAATGTATGATATGATTACTAGAAAACATGATAAGTTTTGGGGTTGTTAAAGTACTTGAACCAAATTAAGTCTAGATTAATAGTTAGGTGTAAAAGATGAGTAGAAAAATTGGATAGAAGTTCATTTGATTGGAGGATTAGAAGAAGGAAGATAGGGATAAAATAAGATGATGGAGAGGGTTTAATGGTTAAGTGAAGATTAAGATAGAAATCACAAAATTATCATAATTAATTTTTTTTTAAGCTTTCGGCCAGCTTATTTTTTAAAAAAATCTGATTTTTTTTTTATTAAAAAGGAAAATCATATTTAAATGGATAAAATAATTGAAATTGATATTTAAATCAAGTTATTATACAAATACATAAATATTTTAGATAATATCAAAACTAAAATTTGTTGTAAAGCATAATGTATATTAGGTATTATCTTTAAAACTCTTAAAATTTCTAATATACATATTGAATAAAATATGGACTGACCATTAAAAGATAATTAAACCAATATTATTAATTTAGAAATCTGAAAATAATTAATAATTCAAATGATTAAATGCTTAGATTTGGCGCCAAAATATAAAATTCATTTTGGCTCCAAATTAAATAATTCAAGAAATTATTAAAATATTTTCCCAAAATTCGGGGTATTACAGTCTACCCCCCTTAAAAGAAGTTTCGTCCCGAAACTTAGAAACATTTAATACCCCAAATTAATACTCTGAATTATCTTGAATTAGTTAAAATGTAGTAAGTTCATGCAGAACCTAAGGACTTGACTCAAAAGACTCACTTAAAGACATAAAAGAAAAGAGTAAAACTCTATCACATCCTCCCCCCCTTAAAAAGGAAGTTATGTCCCCGTAACTTAACCACTCACCATGAAAAGGTTAGGATACTTTTTACGCATTTCTGCCTCAGCCTCCCAAGTTGATTCTTCAACCTTATGGTTCGACCATAGAACCTTAACTATCTTCACATCCTTGTTTCTGGTGCTTCTAACTTTACTGTCTAAAATTCTCACTGGTCTTTCTTCATAGGTCAAATTCTCATCTAGCTTAATTGCCTCCAGTTCTAGCACATGTGTAACATCAAGAACATACTTGAGAATCTGACTCACATGAAAAACATTGTGCACCCTTTCTAACTCGTTGGGTAATTCCAACTTATATGCTACTTTCCCAACTTTCTGAAGAATCTCATATGGCCCAATGTATTTTGGGCTCAATTTCCCCCTCTTGTCAAACCTCATTATTCCCTTCATAGGGGATATTTTCAGCAAAACCTTCTCTCCAACTTGAAAATTTACATCTCTGCGCTTCTCATCAGCGTAACTTTTTTGTCTATCTTGGGCTGCCTTGATCTTCTCCTGGATCAACTTCACTTACTTAACAGTTTCCTCGATCATTTTAGGCCCAAGTACAACGGTTTCACTTATGTCACTCCAACAAACTGGGCTCCTACATTTCCTTCCATACAGTGCCTCAAATGGGGCCATTCCAATGCTTACATGGTGACTATTATTATATGAAAACTCAATCAAGTCTAAGTGATCTTCCCATGAACCTTGATACTCCAATACACATGCTCTCAACATGTCTTCCAAGGTCTGTATGGTCCTTTCAGTCTGACCATCAGTTGCGGGGTGAAAAGTTGTACTCATGAATAACTTAGTTCCCATGGCCTTTTGTAAACTTTGCCAGAAGTTAGACAGGAACCTCGAATCACTATCTGAAATGATATATGTAGGCACCCCATGGTACTTCACCACAAACTTCACATATTCCCTTCCCAACTGATCCATAGACCAAGTGCTTTTCATAGGTATAAAGGTTGCAGACTTAGTCAATCGATCCACAATGACCCAAATAGTGTCATTCCCTACCCTAGTCCCTGGTAATTCCCCCACGAAATCCATAGAGATCGAATCCCACTTCCACTTTGGTACCTCCAGAGGTTGAACCATTCCTTGTGGCCTTCGATGCTCTACCTTCACCTTCTGACAAGTTAAGCATTTTGCCACAAACTTTGCTACATCTCTCTTCATGTTTGGCCACCAAAAGACCTTCTTCATATCCTTGTACAACTTATCCCCTCCAGGATGCATTGAATAAGGAGAACTATGGGCCTCCTCCATCAGTCTTTGTTTGATGTCCCCACTATGTTGTGGAACACACCATCTCCCTTTGAATCGAATACTTCCCTCATCAGCAATGGTAAAGTCCAAATCCTGCTCTTCTTCAATCTTTTCTTTTATTGCCCTTAACTTCGAGTCTCCCAGTTGGCTTTCCCTAATCTCATCACAAATAGAAGGTTGCACTGCCAAGGCATTCAACATCTTGCTGACCTCTCCGTGCTCCACCACTTCCAAATTCATCTTATGAAATTCCACACACAGCTGGTCCAGCAATCATCATATTCATCAAATGATTGGTTTTCCTACTTAGAGCATCAGCTACCACATTGGCTTTCCCCTCATGATATTGGATATTCACATTATAATCCGTCATAAACTCCAACCATCGTCTTTGTCTTGCGTTCAAATACTGCCGGGTGAAAATGTATTTTAGACTCTGGTGATCTGTGAAGATTTTATAAGTTACCCTATATAGGTAGTGTCTCCAAATTTTCAAAGCAAACACAATCGCAGCTAATTCCAAGTCATGGGTTGGATAGTTCACCTCATGCGTTTTCAATTCTCTCGAGGCATATGCAATGACCCTCCGATTCTGCATTAAAACATAACCCAATCCAAACTTTGATGCATCACTATACACCTCATATTGCCCACTTTCATCTGGCAAAGCCAACACTGGTGCCGAGGTTAACTTGTCTTTCAAGGTCTGAAATGCCTTTTCACACTCCTGGGTCCAAATAAACTTACATTCCTTCTTCATCAAGTTCAAATAGAGAAAGTTGAAGATCCTAATAAATAAGTTCCACCTGAAACAATCAAACGCATTAAACAGACGCTAAGCCAAGTTTCCAATAGTTATAAGTTTCTTGATATGAGTACCAAGGGAATCTCATCGGCTAAAGAACTTTTTTTTGCACAAGTTCTCAGCTATAGACATTCCTCCTAATTTCAAACCCATAGAAAACCCTTACTTCCACTTGAGAGATTTTGAAACAATCATGGGAATCTAGGGGGTTGATAAGAAAGCCTTCCTCTCACTATTATCTCTTTCCTTCGAACCAGCATGTCAACAATGGTTCTTTTCTATGGACTGTGAGAAAATGGCTACTTGGGATGGTATTAAGCATACTTTTATTGACAGGTACAACAAGTGCAACATACAAGTAGATACTGACTATAGAGAGCTCGAAATCCTTAAGCGCAAAAGGACAATGAAGGCTTCACCGAATTTTATAATAGGTGAAAGGAAAATTCTGCTAAGTTGATCAAGGCCTCAGATGAAAAAGACTCTGTGGGAATGTTCATCAAAAACCTTTAAGACAAGTATTATAAGCACCTAAAATATCAACCTTTAAGCACCTTCAAGGCTGTCTATGACATATACATTACATTGAAGATGACCTCTATGAAAACGCATTTTTGAAACTTCATAACTCTTGATTACGAAGTCGGATAAAGGCAAATGAGATATCATTGGAGAGCTCTAAATGTCTACTTTCCCATGCCGTTAGAAGTAAAAAATTGAATTCCGCACCGCACTTTTCGCACCTCTTGAAAACCGGTGGGAAAAGAAATGGGCGGGATTGGGGAAAATACTTTTCGCACCGGTTTCAACCAAACCGGTGGGAAAAATGAGTTTTTCGCACCGGTTAGGTTTGAACCCGGTGCGAATGCTCTAAAATAAATCAAAATATCTTCTTTCTCTCTCCTTCCTCGAAATCTCGTCCTCTCTCACCTACCTTAGCTTCTCTCTCCTCCTTCATTCTTCTTCATCTTCTATGAGGGCTGCGATTTTGAGCCGATTTTGAGCAGCCGCGAGTTTTCCAGTCACCGTCATCCTCACCGGAGCCGCTTCGAGGTTCTCATGACCCACTGTCACCCTCATGCTTCACCTGCTCTCCACGGCTCCACCACTATCGTCACTCTTCACCGTCGCATTCTTCTCCGCTCCTCCAAATCTTTCCTTTATCAATGTCTTCTGCATAGATCTGGTCTAAGTAATCTCTCTTTCTTTATATTAAAGATTCAATTTGAATTGAGCAAGTTTGAAATTCTAGGTTTAATTTGATGAAGACAATTGTGTTATTTATAGTTATTACATTTTAATGTTGATTATTGTTCATAACAATCGTGCTATCTTACGATTACTCGTGTACGATTTGCTCCAGAATCCAACAATCTTCTCATTTCATCTTGGGATTCTGTAAGTTACTATTATTTGCTTCTTCATAAATTTTTATTCATAATTTTCTTTTGAATTTAACTCAATTTAATTAATTTTTTCTTCAATATTTTTAGAGTATTAGGTTGGTGGATGTGGAAAGCAGTAAGCTTAGATTAGAAGTTCAAACAGAAGCTGCAGTACTTGATTGCTGTTTTTAGAATGAGTTTGTTGCTTTCTCTGCTACTTCTGATGGATCCATTTTCAGGTAGTTTTTTTTCCTGAAAATTTGGTTTTTTGTTGAAATTTGGGCATAATATTATTCAAGGGTTGCTTAATGAAATTGTAATTATTATCCAATTTATTACCCACTTCATGAGTGCAGTCAAAATTTACCTAAAAAAGTAAGAAAGAATGAAAATCGAAGGAAGACAATGAGAAAGGGAGAGAATGTAGGAGAGATAAGGAGGAACTTAAGGTGGAATTGTACTCTTAGTATCCCTGCTAATGATTTTTGATATGTGAGTTGTGATATTACACCCTAATAAGCGTAGGCGGTTCGTTTAGGTTGTTTGAAAATAATGTGAAGATAAAGTATGGATTTTGATCTAAAATAAGGCTAGTCATAATGGCCTACAGCATAATACAAGTATTAAAGCAAGACAGCAAGGGGTAAGAAGCTTTGATTCTCGCTCATTGATCGTCACTCACTAAAGAGCTTTATTTTGGAATTATAACACTCTTCTAGCAAACACAAGCCTAGAAAATGCATGAAAGGACTTAAAAAAGGGTTGGAATCTAACACTTGAAATGTAAGGTAGACTTTGGGTGTCTCTCCTTTAAATGGGGTAGTATTGGCTTGCCTATGTTTTTGTTAAATATGAAGAATCTTAGAACACTGTATATGTTAAGTACTAAATTACCTGAAATGTTAGATGGGAAATTGTATACTCACCCTTGTGTGTATTGATTTATTTTCGGTTGGCTACATAATTTTTAGCTGCTTCAGTGTGAATCATCTTTTCGCTTATTCCGCGAAGGATATATTAGAGTTGAGCCTTATTCACTCATACCTGGAACTATTGAATTAAAAATTCTGGTATCATGGTTATTGGATGTGGGCTTCTATTATGCTACTTATACAAGTATTAGTTATAATTCTTTCAAAAAAAAGTATTAGTTATAATTGAACAACTTGGTTGCTTCCAAGCAGCATCAGTCAAAAAATTAGTGCCCCCACCCCACCCTACTGTCTTCCTTCAGAGAGGGGTAACTAACCTTCGTTACTGATTTTGCCACCATGTACTTCACATATATCTAGCAATTCACAAGCCATCAACAAATTATATAAGTCTTGGCTGACCTCAGTTTAATTTGCTTAAAGTAACTATTTATGTATTACAGGTACTTTCGACATGCTTCTGGAGAGATATTTGCCATATCGCAGGAATTGGCTCAGTTTGTATCAATAAAAAGGTTATCCTTGTTGCATCTTTTCCCTTAGTCTTATTCATACATCAAGACATGTTATACACACATTCATGTGCTAAGGGCTGAGTCAGCTGAAATGAATTTGGAACCTCTGATTGATTTGCAGGTCCATCCTTCGAACCTTTGCCCACGATGACATCAGTGCTGGGTCTTGGTTTATTGGACTGGATGTGAAGCACATTGATGAAGCAAAGCTTTGTTGTTCTTCTTGGTCATCAGGTATATTGCGAATTTTGAACACGCCAAGAAAAGATAAGGATAGGAGTGGAGACTACTCTCCCCTTCTGTGAAATTAACACTGATTGAATGGTTCCGATTTGCAATGTGTATGCCATGTTCTTCTGTAATGTTCAAATTGGTTTGACCAAGTTAATGTCATGTTGGAGTGGGCAAATCAACTGGAGTCAGAAACATTCTGTAATGGCAGCTATCACTGCTATAAGCTATCTGAATAATGTGCTTGTTAGCATATTATTCTATCTGTTTTAGGATTGTTGAACATGTACTTTCACTAACACAAACTGCACACCAGAACATGGGAAAATTCTTTCAATATTTTGTAATTGGTTGGTTGGGCCCTGTTCGGCAAAGCATAGATGTGGGAGTAGTTTATGGCTGTGCGATTAATTGTTAACTGCGAAACAGTGAAAGTAGATAATCAAGTAGGAGTGGTCATGTGAAAATGGACAATTTATCTTTCTATAAAGCTACTTTTTTCTGTCGAAAGCTAATAGCTTCTGATAAAAGCTATACCTCTGACCTCTGTAACTTATCACTACCTCCACCACTACATTGCCATACACTTAAACCACTAAAGACTTCTCCAAAGCTAGTGTCGAAGACACCCTTAATCTGTTTTAAGAAGTTCAATTATTATTTTTTTTTTATTTATAAATATATATGGATCAAATTTGATTTTTGATCTATGTTTCTATGCTAATGAGCATGATGATTGACATAATTGGAAGAGGATTTTGTTTTCCATTTTCTAAAGAGTCCTTGCAAAGTGAAGGGTTTGTTTAACCTAAGTCTTTGAATTGTTTCAGGTGCTGTATGTGCAGCTGGTTGACTTTACATGGCAAGCATTATGTATCTACACATAGTAATGGCTGTTTTTACTCATTGTTTGGGTAGCTGGGTGGCCTGGTCTGGCTTTGGCTCATGGCTGCTGCTGGTTCCCTGCTGCTACTGGTTTTGGTTTCAGTGTTAAACTGGGAATGATTCAGGTAATTCTTTGCAAACATTTCGATTTTTTTTTTAGGGGTAGTGATCTCATGACCTGTTAGGCTGTTAGTCTTCTGAAGGCAACTGAGGAGCAGCAAGGCAACTGCATAATTTGGTCACCATCATTTATAAATACTATATGGGATCAGAGGCTTCCGAAAATCCAGAATCTCAATTATCCTTAAATACTTCTACAATCATAACAGTCTGGCTATCTCGTAAAGTGGTCCCTATAACATTTTTTAGAAGTAATGTTCTTCAAAAACTTTAAATTCTATATTTTTTTTTAGTTTAAAGACCTTAACTTTAAATGTTCATCCAATTGAAACTGTAATCAAAGGAGGACCACAAGCTCGGGGCTCAATAAATGAAATTTTTTTCCCAGAAAAATTGGTGCTTTAGGTGGAGTAAGGACTTAGGACACCTAATTCGTCTCCAAGGTAGATCAGCCAATCTAGACAGTTTAGGATCTAACATGTCATCAATGGGATTAACGCCGGGTTAGAATTTTGTGTTTTTTTCTGTTGGTATTGTGATTATGATTTATAATCACTCTGATAGTTGATGAAGAAAAATAATGCAAACTCGATAACATTAGTTCACTTCGATGGATACTTTTGTCTTATCACTTTGTATAATGACTTTGAGCTTGAATTTATCAGGGTGTCTCAGCAGTTGGAGCTTTCTATGAGCTCCTGAGTCAATCCTCTCTGAACGTGTCTCGGCATGGAGAACGCAAGCCAGTCGCTCCTGTTGAGTTATGCCCGATCTTAAAGACACTATACAAGATACTCATAAAAAGGTGATATATACACCTGCCAGATTAATTAGCTAATTTTGGAAGATACATATTAATGATGTTTAGTTTGTCAATTGCCTGCTGTGATAATTTATAGGGAACAATCTTCATAAGACATTCTCCAAGCACTGAGGGATGAGAGCATGAATGATCCCCGGGATCGAATCGAAATTGCTCAATCACATGCTTTCTACATGCCTTCACTGTGCTGAGTTGCTGTATGTGTTCAGGAAGCTATAACCTTGTATTTTATTTTGATTTATATTTTATTTTTTTGGACGAAAAATGTAATATTACAGCCTATTTTAATGAAAATATGTAACTATATATATATGTTAGTGTTTATATATCAATTTAAGTGAAAAAATGCAAAAAAAAAAAAAATTTATTTTTTTAGGCATTTTTGGCACCGGTTTTGGAATAGAACCGGTGCTAACAGTTTTTTTTATTTTTTTTGCCACTTTTCGCATCGGTTCAAAGCAAGAACCGGTGCTAAAAGTGTGGTTTTTCGCACCGGTTCTCACCCAGAATCGGTGCGAAAAGTCTGATTTGTGTCTAGGGTTTTAGCACCCCCAAATCAGGACCAGTTCAAAACCGGTGTAAATGGGGGTTTTGAACCGGTGCGGATTACGTGTTTTCGCCTAGAATTGTGAATCAAAATATATGGCCGTTTTAGTGCAAGGGTGTCGGTTTTCGAGTCCGGTTTAGTATTTTGATGATATCTTCTTCGTTTTAACTTGGAATTGGGCTTATAATATACTGTTGGAAAGCTCTTTGAAAGGGATATCCAGATGTATAGGCCTTGAAAAAATATTATGTGTGTTTTTTTTCTGGTTGGCTCGGTTTTCAACAATGTAAGATTTATTTGATCCAATCAATGCATTTAACGTATTTGGGTCCATTATTAATCAAGATTAAACATGTATGAGCATGTTTTAGGCGTAATTAGTAATAGGACTAGGCTCTAAGATAAATCAGTCTCAAATATAGGTTTTAGATAACTTCATAATGCATTTCGGAGTCTATAAACACTTCAACTTTGATCTAGCATGAAGAACGGGTTTTTGTAACATCATTGCAATTCCCGTCGGCACAGGAGGCCAAAAGTAGGTGTCTACAGGAACTCGGAACTCTGGCATGGGGGAGGATCGAATTTGGGTGTTGAATGCGGTGGGGGAGGGTTTTTTAGGGGATTCGGGTTTGGGTTATGGAGGTTTTGGGTGGTGGTTCAGTGGGTAAGGGGAGGGGGGATTGGGTCGCCGGCACGGGAAAAGGCCAGGTCTCTGGCGGCGGCGGGGGTGGGTGGGTTTCGGGAGGGATCTTGGTTGGGTGGTGGGGACTAGGAAGGGGGGTTGTGGGTGGGGGCTGTTTTTTTTTTTAAGATTTTCTTTTTTTAAAAAAAAATTAAGTTTTTTTATTTATTTTTCAACTAATTAAATGGTGACACGTGTCAGCTTAGCCTGTTATAACAGATTAAGTGACCGGCTAGGATCATTTTAAGCGAATGACCCCCAAAGATCGAATCATTTAAAAATAATCCAAAATTGAGATTATTTTGAGCGAACGGGCAAAAGTCGGGATTATTTTTACCAATTTTTCCAAAAATAATTTCAAGTCTATAATTTCATAGATATCTATTTACAAACAAAACTACAATTATTATTATATAAATAAGCGATATGATATTGTATGTCTATATATCTAGCATTATTAAAAGGGATTGTATGACCGTATTTAACATTCAAGCCAAAAAATTTATCAACAATATGGGCATCGCCCGTGCATAAAACTAGTACATATAAAAGGGGATTTTTTTTTTCCTAAGTTTTTAGAGAGTCATATAGGATTAAATTTTCTTAACGCGTCATGTAAGATTAAAAAATATTAGTTATAGCCAATCAAATAAGAGATTTGTAAATTCTTTTAGAATTAAGTAATTCAAATGCCACATAAGCAAAATTGGCGAATGAGATTTTAAAGTTTAAATTAATTAAATATAAAATATTATCTTTTGAGATTAAAAATTTTATCTAATATATAACGAGTGAGAGGAAATTCGCAATTTATTTTAAAATAAAAATATCAAAAGATATACAATTACTACGTACAACGAATAAAATAACAAAATTTATCTAAAGAAAATAAAATAACAAATTTTATTAATATATGCAAAAAAATTATTGATTTTAAAAAATATAAACAAACCGTGCATCGCACGGTCTCTATCTAGTGTTATATATATATATACAACCTTGAATAATGTATACTCTAGGACTGATGATCATCAATTTAATTCCAAAATACTTTTTATACTTCATCTATGGTACACAACATTCAGTCCATGAGATTGCTTGAAAAAGAACTTGTAATTATATAATTATATTGATTGATTTAATTTTTTTAGAATTTCCATATATTATTTTGGGAAGATATACGGAGTAGTACAAACGATAATTTACATGTTCCAATATCATGTGAGGCTGATATTATACAATTTTCATAAATAACTCCAGGAGTCAATCATTTTGATGGAATGAATCATTAAAATTGAAATGAAGACAAGAGGTATGTCCAGATTCAGCCAGCTATGGCCAATACTTCAGGTTAGGCAGACATCTATGCATGGCTTATAAGACGTGCACATTTAGGGTGATAATGACATTAAAATTTCCTTTTTCCCATATTTCCGTCCTAATTCATCTTTGTAAACCCTTACCTATCTTTCTATTTTCGAAAATTATTTATATATGATGAGATTGATGACTTTGTATTAAACATTTATCTAAATTAAGGCTCTGTTTGGTTCTTCTAATTTATACAGAGTATTATTTAAACTTATCGGAATTTCCTTAAAAAAAATATTATTTGAAATAACTTTGTATATTAATGTACGTTGTTGGAATTTTTTTGAATTCATATTATTTTGTTTGAATCTTTCAAAAAAAAAAATTATTTTGTTTGAATGTATAAAATAGGAAGTAATTTATTTTTTTTGCCTAGTAAAGATAGCTCGTTATATGGTGAAGGGGTGAGGTATTGGACTATTGGTGCACCTTATGACCTTAAAAACTTAAAGTGCCATTAATTAATTTTTACTTTTTAAAAATGGAGTGTATACAAACTACAAATTTAATTAGTAACTAATTATTAGCCCGGGCGATGCCCCGAATCACTATAAATTTGTAATTTTGATCAAAATTAAATTTAGACGTAAGTGTTCAACAAATCAACAATATTTACAAGTGGTTAAAAAGATAATAATTAATTTACGATAAATGGGTGCTAGTTTTTATTCATTTTACTGTACATAATAAAATATAGCCAGTCTTGTGTGCGGTTGGCCACACTGTGTGTTCGCTTGTAAAAGAACAAAGTAACCCCTATAATACTGATTGAGTAACCCCTGTAATACTGACAAGTAACCTCTTTAACACTGACCGGGTAACCCCTACAACATTAACAAAGTAACCCTATAACACTTACCAAGTAACCCCTATAACACTAACAAAGTAAGTCATATAACACCAACGAAGTAACTCCCATAACCCCCATGATGGATGGCCACACCGTGTGGCCAGCCACATATAATAATTTGTAAATAAAATAATCGTTACCCATGAAACAACTTGTATCATACTAAACTCAAAAAACAAAAACAAAACTAGAACAAAGTCCACCATAGGGCCACTTTCTACACTCAAACCTACTATAGGGGTACTTACTACCTTCAAAGAATGTAGATTTATTGAACTCAATAACAAAAACATAAAGAAACTAAAGGAAACGGGTCGAAAATAGCCATATTTCCAGAGAAATTTAACTATTTCCGGCCTATGAAACACTTTTTTTGAAGAGCCCTAAAGAGAAAAAATAGAGAGGAGACGGCTAGGATTTTTTTTTTTTTTTTTTATAATAGCACCTAGCTTATAAATAAATTAATAGCTTATGTAAATGTTACTTTGCTTGACTGATATTGATCTAGAAAATTAGCATCTAAGGAATCAACAACCATTAGTGTGTGATTATTTATGTCTTACAAATTAAATTGTAAAATATTGTGCAATTACTTACGAGTTACATTTTATGGGAAATTTAAATACGAAGATTACATATATGAAGAGTACGTTTTAGGGTGATGAGTGATGGCACATAAGGTGTCACATAGCGTTCATGTGGTGCCAAATCATATTGAAAAAACGGTGACGCATAGCGGTAGAATGTTGTCCCTTTGAGTTTTAATAATATTATATTATAGATATGAAGCAAATATCATGGGCTTGTAGATCTAGTATTCATATAAGCCAACTTATAAAAAGTTTTGTGTCAACTTACGATATCTTAAAACACTTGTTATGGTTGAACCCGTCCTTTATAGTTTTATATCTTTTGTGGAGTTAAATTTACACTCTGTGTGTAATCCGGGTGTTGCTAGTGTGTAACTCGGGCGTTGCTCCGGGTGTTATTTTGGTTTTTTTTATTTTAGTTTATTTTTTAAAATCTTATAAACTTGAAAGACTATTTTTCATTTGTTGATAAATCATAACAATACCATGACAAAAATAAATTATTTTGGATTATTTTCACTTTTATGATACATTCTAATATGTATTTATATATTTATGTAGATAGACGTTGTTTGGAGATTTAGTGTTCAAACCTCTTTGCATGCATTTTTGGTTAATTATTATAATGTGAAACAAAGATTACTTGTGAATGATTATGTGGCTGATGACGCGGAGTGATTCTAGTACAACAATGGGTACATGTGGCACATCGACATTTTTAAGAACGCTTTTTAATATATAAAAAAATAATAATAATAATAATAACTATTGAGTAGTCTGGGCGTTGACTAGGGTTGCTACTGTTGTAGACGTGCAATTGATAAATTTTTTTTAAGGACTTTTCAAAACTGCAATTATTATTGTCAAACCAAAATTGAGTTCTTCTTTAAGTATATATATATTTTTTTTTTAATTGAATCTTTTGGTTTGCACTTATATAATTTTTTTTTACATATTAATAACATAGTTGATAATTGATTTAGATGGTTATATAGTCATCTTTGTTATAAAAGGTTGAGGATTAGAACCTCCTTATCCTTATGTTTTTATATAGAATAATATTGGTTGTTTGGGTGCTGTGGCGTTAGAGATGTTGGGAAGATGACGTGGGCACGTGGTGCAATAAAAAGGGACTACGTGGTACATCGACGTTTTTAAGAACGCCTTTGAATAGATTAGTATAGATAAATATAACTAGTGTGTGGCCCGAGCGATGCACCGGGTTTTACTTTGAATATCAATAAAT